TCCAACAGTTTAATGGTCTGCCATTTAATTTGTGTTAGAAAACTTTAGTCAAAGGGAAATGGTTTCAATGTATTCCTGTATTCATTCTCAGTTCCATCTCACCTGGATAAATTACCAGGCTACATATTTGCATCACATTAACCTGGCTGAGACGTCTTTCTTAGGAGGCCCTGACTTCTAACAAAGATGAATGAGAAATGGTGGCATAAAATCCACTTGGTAACTGTAGTAAAGTTGATGATAAAGACATTCTCCATTAACTCATAGTAATGGTCATTAGAGTTTGCCATCCCTTGGTCCTCTTTTTTAAATTAATCAATTTTTTTTTTTTTTTTTTTTTTGACAGAGTTTCACTCTTGTTACCCAGACTAGAGTGCAATGGGACAATCTTGGCTCACTGCAACCTCTGCCTCCTGGGTTCAAGCGATTCTCATGCCTCAGCCTCCTGAGTAGCTGGGGCTACAGATGTGCGTCAGTACGCTTGGCTATTTTTGTATTTTCAGTAGAGACAGAGCTTCACCTTGTTGGCCAAAGTAATCTCGAACTCTTGTTCTCAGGTGATCTGCCCGCTTCAGCCCTCCAAAGTGCTGGGATTACAGGCCTGAGCCACCAGGGCAGGCCAATTAATTTTTTTTTTAACAGAAGTCAGTTTTGTTATAGTATTCAGCTCTACTCCACGGAGTCCACAAATATTGGGGTAGCTGACTCCACTTCCTCTTCTAGAAACTTATTGGTCTAAGTATCCCAATTTGGGTAAAGACATTAAAAGAGGTTTTCTAGGCTTCTGGAAATGGTCTTTCTCTTTTTTCAAGGTTAGTCTTACTGTTTAAGCTGGTTTGAATAGATTTTCCATGATTTGCAAGTGAAAGAATTCTAACTGATAAAGTCACTTATATTATACATACTTTTCCAATCATTTTTTTCTAAATATTGTACCAGAAATTACTTTGTATCCCTTGCTGAATTATTTGTTTTCTTTCTTTTTGAAAATAAGAGATATGCAACTTGTTTTATTTTGACTTCTAGAAAGATTAGAGCCAATTTTATTTTCGATAACAACTACTGACATTTGATATAAACATATATTCTCCTTTCATTCCTCATCTTAAAATTCTTCAATTTTTCCTTTTAAAAAACTTGAGTTGTATGTGTGTTTTGTTGTGATCCACATGTAAGTAATAACAAAAATATATAATCTTATATAGATTTAGTATATGAGAGATAATTCTAAGTTCTTTTCTAATTGAATGGTTGTCAAACTGTTTTATGGGCTTCAGATCCTGTTCTATAAAGGAAATTTTACATAGAAAACCAAAATACACAATGAGGTGGAAGTTCTCTGTCTGAAGTTTGAACCAGGCCGAAAGCCTCACTCAGTTAGCTCCACACCATACCTCCCTACCTACATGTAACTTCCGTAGTCCTTCAAGAAAATCTTAGGACTCTGGAAAATCCTTAAATCTTCTGTTTCTTTCCATAGTGCTGGTGCACCATTTCCCAAAGATATTAGACCACAATCAAATTCTATGAATGAGTTTTGGGTGTTCATTCTAAAATCATCACAGATGACCCTTCTACAAATGTACTTTTAAATGACCAAACCACCATTCATGTTACCACCTAAAGAGAATTGATCAACCAGAATGTTGTAGTTCAAAGGATGCAGAGTCTTTGCTACCAAGGCATTAAAGCAACAACTCTAAATCGATTTCAATTGAATATACATTTGAGTACTTTAGCAAAGATTATAAACAAAACCTATTCCCAGAAATCTAGCTCTTCTATTTTCATCCTGTGCCATCACTCCACCATAAAGATAACAAGCTATTTCTGAATTTTGTTAATTCTTTAATTTCTTGCTTTTATTAAATATAACTCTAAGCATGCACACACATGAAAGTGTGTGTATATATATACACAAAGACACTATGTATATGTATATATATATCTTCCTTCCTTTGTACACACACACATACACCCCTCCCTTTCTTCCTTCCTAACAGAGGAGATATATATATATATATCTTTCTTATCTAACAAAGGAAGATATATATATATATATACACACACATATATTCCTATATATATATATATATATATATATCTTCCTTTGTTATATATATATGTATCTTATCTAAACATATGTACATCTTCCTTTGTTAGGTAAGTGTTTAAGTGCTGGCATGCTTTTCTGTACCTTCTTTTTCACTTAGCAATATATTGTAGACATTACTTCATAAAAGTATATAAACATTTCTAATTCTTTTTCACAGCAACACAATTTTCCACTATGTGGTCATACATGAGTTTATTCAATCATTCTCTGTTGATGGACATTTAATAGGTTTCAAGGTTTTAGCTTTTATAAATAGTCTCATGATAACTATATGTTTATATGGTGCATATGATTTTGTGCAGATCTCTTTTTGAAAATTACCAGTGCATTTTTGAGATAAATTCCCACAAGTAAAATTTCTGGGTCAAAGGGTAAGTGCACATGCAATTTTCACAGCAATTGCCAAATTTCCCTCCGTGTGGTTATGTATCCTTTTGCTTTCCCATCAGCAATATATGAGAGTGCTAGTTTCTTATAGCCTTTTCAAGAGAATGTGTTGTCAAAGTTGTGGATATTTATCAGCATGATATATGAAAAATGGTATCGGTGTAGTTTTCATCGACTTTTTTTTGAGCAAGGTTGAGAATATTTTTATATGATTTAGAGACATTTATATTTCTTTCAGTATGAACTGTTGGTTTATTTCTCTAGCTAAGTTTTCTGTAGGGTCGTTGGTGCTTTTCTTTATATGTGTAGAAGCTTATTATGTAGTATGATATTGAGGCTTTGTATGTGATATAAGTTGCAATATTTTCCTAAATATATTATTGTTGTTTGCTTATTTTCCTTTGTCATATATTTTTTTTAAATTATGTAAGCAAATGTGCTTTTCCTTACTATCTCTGGATTTGGTCTATGAAATATTTGTTCAGAATAGGCATAGAGAGGAATTCACCCAAGTTTCCTCCTATTATTTGTGTGGCTTCATTTCTTCAATAGAATCTCTGATTCACTTAGAATTTACCCAAGTACAAATTTTTCCACCACATTTAAAAATATATATATTTTTCCACTAATTTGAAATGTTGCCTTTATTGTATACTAAGTGAATATAGAAATGGGCCTAATTCTAAATTTTCTCTTCCATTCCTCTATCTTTGCTAATACCATACTTTTAAAACTACAGACTTAGTAGTATGTTTTACTCCATTGTAGGATTTAGTTCCATTCATTGAACTTCTTTTTTGCTATATTTCTATTTTTCCTTGCATCTTCTATAATTTCTGCTTTATAAAAGCTAGCTGTGGCATTGGATGTATAGGTATTAATAAAAATTAATTGAATTGTGGTCTTTGACATCCAGTAGTAACCTTTGTTTCTTTCAGTGCAGTTGTTCTAAATTCTATCTTCTCAGATGTCAAGATTGTAACCCTGCTGTCTTTTATTCTCATTTGTCCAGAGTTTTCATCAATCCTTAAAATAAAAATAAAAACATTCTTCTGAGTCACTTCCTTTAAGTTGTATGATATTTTTTGTCAGCCAATCTACAAATTTGCTTTTTCTTATACTATGTATACATACATAATATATAAAATATGCATATTTATCTTATAAATAAAAGGAAAATTTTAGACTATGTACGTGTTTATATATTTCATCTAATCACATTTTTAATGTTACATTAATAGTTTTACAATTTTTTTATGAATAGTGTGTCATTAAATGGTCTTTTTTTCTCTTTCTCTCTTTTAAATAGATATTTTAGTATTCAAGAAAATCCATATTTATTCTAATGGGTAATTTTATACAATATTGTTATATTAGAGCCCTATTTTTCTCTTCAGTGCCCTTTTCCTTTTTTGGTTATTGCTTGTTGGCTTCCTAGGATAAGCAATATTGACATTAGCTACTAATTTTATCATTTTTCTTTCCTAACTGTCTTAAGACATATGATTTAAAGTAATATCCATTTATGTCTAGTAATCTTTTATACTTTTTATTTGCATTCTCCCGTTATTTTTGGTAATTGTCCTGTATCTACATTGTCAGCGTATACAGCTATTATATGTTATGCTGTCTCCTTTATGACCATCATTAATCTAAGCTTTGCATGTAAACATTTTTAATGCTTATCAAAAGTCCTTAAGCTGATGGTTCTCTTGCACTTTTGGTTGTTGGAAGACAATTTCATAGTAGCTTTCTCCATAGAGGTTCATGGGAACATCAATGATATTTGAAACCAAATTTCGGTTGCCTCTGTATCTGACAGTTAATTAGGCTGGATACAAAATAGATCCCCAATTTTAATTTCTTTTCCAATGTAGCTAAATGTATTTTATACTATGGTCATTTGGCATAAAGTATTACTATTGAGAAATATGCTTAAAATCTGTTTTTGTTTCCTCCATAAGTGGCTTGATCTGTTTTGGAAATCTCCCCTTTTTTTCTTTATTTCTTTTTCTTCCTTTAACTTTGTAGGATCAGCAATTTTACTAGAATATGCCTAGAATTTGTCATTTTGAGTTGACTTTTCCATGCTAAGTAGTATCATTTTAGCATATAGCTTCAACTGTATTTTATTTCAGGGAAGTTATTTGAATTTTCATTTTTAATCTCGTTTCCATTTCATTGCTTTGATTTTCCTTTTTGGGGACTCCTATTGTGCATATATTTTAACACTTTTTTTCTGGAATCCTTTAAGCTTTTTCTTTCTTTTTGATTTTTAAATATTCCTCCTTTTTTTCTATTTCTCTGTCTATTGTGTTTCTTTGATCTATGTTCCTTCTAGTTTAGAGTTCATTTCTGAAAATTTGTTTTCTAATATTTTGCTGAGTTCTATGATCTGATTTCTGACTTTTTATAATTCAAAGTTATGCTCTTCTTTGATGGTGACAGTTATCTTTTATCCCTGACCTCGAAATGCATGTGTGTGTTTTATTAACAGGAATCAGAGTCTGAATAAATCTGCGAGACCTAACTGATTGAATATATTGGTAAGAAAACTTCTTTATTCTGTAGGAATATAATTCTCTTTTCATTGTCTTATTATAGTAACATTGTATGGGATTTGATTATAATTCTTTCACTAAATTTCCAGGAAATTGTTTTTCTAATACTTTTATAGGTAAGAGACATGTCAGAATTGCTTTTTAAAAAAATAAAAAGTTTTATAATACTCTTTAGTGAATTTCATGAAGTGTCAAAAACATGGCTTCTTACTTTTTGAGATTTCCTGGCTATCTTCCTTTCCCATATGTTTATTTGGACCATTTCAATTTATTTGCCCCTATGATGCCTGTTTTGATAAAGTTGGATTCTAATCCCAAAAGAATCATCTGATTAGGGAATTTTCCTAGAGAGAAATTTGGCTGATTATTTTGAGAGTTTGTAGAGCAGAACTGTCCAAATTTCAGAAAGTCTGGTAAACACTGTACTCAATCACAAATTAGGTCCTTCAAAAAATCCTACAAGTTTCCGCTGCTATTCTTAAATTGGCTTGTCACACTTTGCAGAGTAGCTGTTGGCAATTGGAGTTTCCTGTCAGGGTCTATCAGACATTCTGTTGCTTCTCTCCATTACTTCCTGCATACATGCATATACAAGACAGGTCTTCTAAGTGATTTGTTGCTATGCACTTTTATTTGGCGGAGTCATAGTGATGTTATGTTACCTAATTTTGATGTAATTGGTAATCGTGAGTCTCTTTTATTAAAATTATTTTTTATATTCTGTGTTTATAGAGGGTAGGAACTTGCAGAGATTAAAAACCATAATATCACTGTATTCTCAGAAGTCGCCAAGTAACTTTTTCAACCCCATGTGTTGTCAAATTTTCAGAATCCCAGTCAAATAAATTTCTTGTCTCAAGCAGAAAGAACTTCCTTAATCAGAGCAAACTTGATGGATTTAATTCACATACATCTCTCTCATGTGAGCCAATTATATTAACATTTTAAAATGTCCTACCCATTTTCCCTAATGCTACTCCTGGATTAGTATGTAATCTGTTTACAATAACTCACTAGAAATAGCTTTACAAATAATTTTCCATGTAATAGCTATAGTCCACCAGCTTTCCAACCTGTAATACCCATGTCCTTTCTGCCTGATACTGGATTACCGGCCCGAAGTCCCATACTGTGGCTCCTTCTAGTTGCAATTCCACTCTTGGTATCAGGTCAGTGTTTGTTAAAAAGTAGTTTCAGTGTTGTAGCACTAGGGAAAGTGTGTTGGAAATTTTGAGATCCATCCACACATAAGAGAAAGATCAACTGTATCTGAAAACTAGTTCTAACATTAACAAGCTCTGTGAATGTAGTTTTTAAGTTAACAATAAAGATAACTCATAGAATTATTATGACAAGCATATTATCTAATATAAATAAATTCATTAGTATGAAGTCTTACATTATTCCATGAAACACACAATACAAATGGTAGTGATTACTGTGTGACATGCAACATCTGAAAATTCAGACTATGTTGGAAGGAGTATTTTATGAGAGCTATTCAATAGTTACTTAAGTATGGGATCTCTGATGATCTGTGTATTCATCCATATTTTGTAATCTCACAAAGATTACTTAAGTGGTCTTATATTATTTGCTCTTCAGATTCGGGCTACGTTCTTTGCCAAAAGAACTATTGTCATATATTGACCTTTTCTGCTAACTGGCATGTTTACATTGTAATATTATTAACAGGAATATCTCTGCAAACAAATGGCAATGATCTTATGTTAATGGATAGGTGAATACTTTCTGAATACAGAAAAAATTTAGGGCTTTTTAAACTCAATTGAAATGTAAGTATTTTGGCAAAAGGAAATCTAGTAATGTGGGGTTATGCAAAAATAAAGAATGTAATGACGATACTTTTTCTAAAACTCAGAAGCTTTTCTGTTACTTCTGCAAACTGAAATTAAAAAATCAAGAATTAATGCTAAGTAATTACTATGTACTCAGATTTGGGCTAAAATACACATTTTCCAAACAACCAACTAAAGTATTCCACAATCATTCAGTTGTTTTTGAAATTATGTTGTTATTTATTTATTGACCAGCAAGTCGTATTTCTATATCATAGCCCAAAATGTAAGTTAATGAGAAGCTTTAGCAATAACTCAATGTTTTGTGTACACTTTCAATGTGAAAAATTGCTAAAGCAAACAAATCATCTCTATAGTAAGCTACAAGCTTAATAGATGTATTCACTGAGGAGACCTATTGTGCTCTTGACAGAATTTGTGAAATGGCCAAACAGTAAAATTCTCTGGTTGTTCTCCCCATACTTTTGCTCAGGAAAAGTCAAAGAATCCATGATTCAGGGAATTGGGAGATATAATTTCAGCTTATAACTGCTATAAGAAGAGCAGTTTTTCTTTCTGTCAAAAGCTGGGAAGATGTAAAATCCCCTCACTGCTAATGCACAAGACAGACTGTAGAGGTGACTGACTATACTGAGAGTAAGGAGAACAGAATGAAAAAGTGTACTGGACAGAGTGAGCAAGGAATCAGCGGAGTCTCACAAATAATTCAAAGAACCTCTTCCCAGAAGTAATGAAAATAGCAAGAACCAATATGTTATAGTGCTGATTACTGGCAGACACTGCACTTGACATTCATTAATTCATTTAATTCTCACACAAGACACTTCAAAGTCAGTATTATTATTGTTGTTTACTGACAAGACAACTAAGAGATCAGAATTTAGTGACTTATTTTCTTAATTTGTTTATTTTGCTATAGAATAACTGTACCTGGTTTTTAATGAACAGAAATGTATTTGGCTCATTGTCTGGAGGCTGGGAAGTCTAAAATTGAAGGTCTGCTTCTGGTGAGGGGTGTCTTGCTGTGTCATCCCACGGTGGAAGTGCAAAGAGAAGGTAAGAAAGTGCAAGAGATTGAATTTGCAGACCCAGGTTCTTTTAAAATTGGCATTAATCCATTCATGAAGGTGGAGCCCTCAAGACCTAAACACCTTCTGTTAATCTCCGCCTCCCAACACTGATACATTGGTGATTAAGTTTCCAACATGTGCTTTTTGGAGGACACATTCAAACCACAGCACTTGTCCAGGGTCACAGATTGATCCACATGTAGCAGAGCTGGTATTTGAACCCAGGTCTTTCTATATTGGGTATAAATATAAAAAGTGATGTGACACCAATTGAATTACGATCGAACATTCTTGGAAAGAGGTACATTTTGTCTGAACCTTGCTAAGGTGCCAAATGATCATTTTCATTTGCAAATTGAGTTTTTAATTTGGAGACCTTTAGATAAATATTATAATTTTTAATAAAACAATATTTTAAGAAAATTTCAAGACCATTAACTAGGCCACAAAAATTCCTTTGCCCCAAAACACAAATTGGAGAGATGATATTCAACAATCATAGTAAAATTATTAATAACAAAATTGACAAAAGAAAAAAGTATCCAAGTTTAAGTGCTCCTAAATAATACTGAATCAAAGAATAATCTAAAATAATTTTAGATGTTATAGAAAATAATACCACTACTCATTAACTGTCCATTTTATTCCTTAATGTTTCTTAAACAAGTATCAAGAGAAAGACATATTAATTAAGCCAAAAGTTAGAGAAGTGTTAAATAAATAGAAATCAGTAAAGATAATAGTGTAAGTCAATGAATCAAAATATAGAATAGTGGAAAAAATGGTAAATTAAATTCTAATAAAATTTAAGAACTGCAGACAGAATTCTGAAAAATATAATTGAGGAGTACTACAACTCACCCAGATACACAAAGTAAGGAATAATAGGTTGAAATAACAGACAAAATTTGTAAAAAACTTTGTCAATATTTTAAAATATCAGTGACATGTTTATTTTCTTTATTGAAAAGTAAAAATTCTAATTAAAAAATCTTGAAGACAATTTAAAAGTTATTAAGTAAATACTCAGACACTTTAATGGATAGTTATTTCAAACTCTCAAGGAATATTTTTCTTCTATGTATTCTGTTCTCAAGTTAATGGATGTAGAATAAGCAAACATATACTTTAAAATTAAATAAATGTTAAAAATTAAGGATAATTATCTAATTTGTTTCATGTAGTAAATACAATTCTAATACCAAAGTATGATATGTCTGATCACCCACCACCCTGCAAAATTATACACCAATTTCTAATATGAATATGGAATTAATGTCAGGCCCAGTAGCTTGTGCCTGTAATCCCAGAGCTTTGGGAGACCAAGGCAGGAGGATGACTTGAAGCCAGGAGCGTGAGACTAGCCTCAGGCACATAGTGAGACATCCTCACATCTCTACAAAAAAGTTTTTTGAAACGAAAAACTCACCAGTTACAGCAGCACGTACCTGCAGTCACTGCTACCCTGGAGGCTGAGATGGAAGGAGAACTTGAGCCTAAGTGTCCAAGGCTGCAGTGAGCCATGATTGGGCAAAGACACTTGAGCCTGGGCAACAAAATGAGACCCTGTCTCTAAAAAATTTAAAAAAATATATATATTTTTAGATTTTCTATTCAAAACTATTACTTTGCTATATATTTATAGGTTTTCTATTCAAAAGTGTTACTTCATAAAGACTTAATATAATAAATATAAAGAAATATAATATAAATATTTAATATATAGGCATACTTATAGTTTACATATAGTTATATTACTATAATGTAAGTTTTCTACAGGAAACCTACAATCTAAATTCTACACAGTGTATATACAAAATAATTTTCCAAATAGGGAGAGGAAAGGCACTTACCCTATCAGATACTAGAATATTGTCATGGTTTAAATGTTTGTGTCCTCTAAAACTTAAACACGAATGTGACAGTGTTGAGAGGCAGGGACTTTAAGAAGTGTTTGGGTTATGAGGGCTCTGTTCTCATGAATGAGTTAATCTATTCATGGGAGTATAAGGATGGCTTAATTTGGAAAATCTATTATTTTACAAGGTATGATAGGCAATGTATTAACAGAGACAGGATTGTGGGAGCCATCAGC